GTGTGGTGTGTTTTACTTTATCTTGTCTCTGGTTGCTGTAACATTTACATAAACCTGAGGAGGAAACACAAGCATGTGCCTTATGGCTAGTTTAGCAAAACAAAGCTAAGTAAAATAAATCTTGCATTGCAACTTGCTCATCTGATAGGATGGCAGAATGCCTACACGATGCTCCTCTGGGTTCTGTTCCACTCCTTGTACCAAATGACAGGCCTTAAAACTGAACTTAGTTGCGATTAAAGGCACTGGCTCCTCTGATTCACTCACATGAGCTGTAAGTTAACCTCTGAGTGGTAAGTAGTGCTTTTTTCCATGTAGCCTTTTACAAGAGAGGTTAATTTTTTTCCATGTTTTTGTTTTAGAGGGAAAGGCAAGCGGGAAGGACTAGACTAAATGAAATACATGACAGATCTCACATATTAGTGCCATTTAAGCAGGTCCTTTCATACTTTAGCTTAGCTCTACGTAGCATTATATATTTTGAAGATGTTTTTTCATTTCTGTGGGCTGCCAGATGGACTGCTGATACCTTCTGATTTTAGATAATTTGACATTGATTTTCCTAGCACACGTCAGGGTTGAAATCTGGTCTGTAACTCATCCAAATGATCTATTCATAACAGAAAGTGCCTTCTGGCAGTTGCACCACAGCTGAATATTGTTAAACTGAATTCATCATTTCATTTGTTTCTGATTGCTCTATAATGTTTACATATCTTACATATTAGTATGATCTTTTATAAAGCACACACTGAAGTTAAATCCTCCCAGGCAGAACTTTTTTCTCCTTCCTCTCCCTTTCACAAGGTGTTGAACTCTTTCTCCCTTTAAATGAGCAGGAATCTTGGGAGTGCTTAATGCTTGTTTGAAATGACGGGCTCAGCAAGTAGGACTGTGTGTGCTGGGGAGACATGGAAAGGTGACATTTTCCTGCGCAAAAGGAATCTTCCCCCTCCACACAGAATAATTATGAGGTGGAATTGCTTGTCTGAGTGTAATACTTTTGTAAGTAACTATCAATCATCACATGGCAATAGGCTCCTGTGAATACATTCAACTGAAAAATTTATAGACACTGCTTATGACTGAGTGAGTGAATAGGCTCAGATTCTTCTCATCGCCCCTTTTCAAACTCCTGATGCAATAACTGGTGTGCAGAGATCACTCTAACGTCCAGCAGAGGATATCCTCTCAGTGTTTCACTGTATGTAAAAGAAAATAAACATTAATGTGTCTCACAATAGGATTGTGTCACGGGATGAATTTAAGTTCAGTAGAAGGCAGAATATCGCAGGCTCCCTTTGAATTTGGATTTTAACTTTCAAAGAAGGATGACATCTCTTGTTTGCTTTAAAAATAAGAATCGATTGCCTATAAATCTAAACCAGATGTTGTTTTTCTGTGAAAAAGATTAAGGATTTTCTTAAGCTCATTAAAGGGAAAAAAAGTAATGACAACACAGTGATCCTCCTATATCGTCATAAGAATGTCTGAAGGCAATGGAAAGCCATGAAAACAACCTGGTATCAGTGCAACAAAATGAGCTCTAAGTCTGGCAAATCGTGCTTGTCTTCTGGGTTCTGTAGCAAACTTTGCACTCTTTCTCCAGCCTTACGCTTATGTCTAGTGTAGTGTTTTAGTGGGATGGGGTGGTATGTGTACTCAAACACAAGTTGGACTTTTTCACGTGAAAATACCGATGCCAGCTCCTGCATGGCTTGAAAAACTGAGGCATCATCCAAATATTTCAAGGAGGGGAAATGGAAACCATTTGCTATTTCTTATGCAGGTATCTATGGAAGAATGTTCATGCTGTTGCTTCTCAGAGCTTGTGTGTCTGTTTTGGGGAGTGTGTTATTTCCTAATTTTCTCACTTTCCATGCGCATCAAAACCCAGAGTCTGAAAAACGTGACTTAAACTCTCTAAGTGGAAGGAGGATGATGCCGTATGCGGTATCACTAAAGCCCAGTGTTACAGCAAATGTTCCTTATTCCAGCTGAAAGTTTCCACAACAGAAAAACACATGATAACCTAGTACCCCACTGACTACATTCGTCAGTGTGGCAATATGCAACTCCCTCGTTTGCTCTGTTTCTGTGTTGAAAGTTTGCTGGGTTGTGTACAAATGATGGTTCACTAGTAAGATCATAGGAAACTCTCAGTGTAATTTGAGAAGAGGAGGCTCAGAAATATTCAGTCCTGGTACATTCCTGTGGGTGTCCAAAATACTAGGCCAGAAGTACTGGCTCTGGGGAGAGGTTTGGTCTTTTAAGCAATCTAATCCTTTTGGTGCTGTCAGATCTATAGAACAATTTGGTAAATTGTGGACTAATGATAGAAGAAAGGGTTTTTTTGTGTTTGTTTTAAAATACAGTTCTTGAGCTCTAGAACTTCCCCTGATTTCACAAAGCCTCCTTGTGCCTTTAAGATCCTTAGACTATTTGGTTTCTTCAGACTATACAATGTTAGATTTTAAGCTTGATACATCTGGTGTACCTAGATTCTTCCTTCAGAAGACACAGGAGGCTACTGCAAAGTTTGCTGCATCAAAAATACTTTGAGATGGGACTTCAAAAACCCAGGTCCTTTCTGTCCTAAGTATTCCTTCCCACCTGTAGAGACACATGGTGTGTCCACAGCGGTGGAATGGGAATGAGACGGGACATCTGGGTTCTCAACACGCTTCCGTCACTAGTTGGGAGCAGATATTAACTGGGAATTTTGACCGTATTCTGTGTCCTTTGCAAGGTCAGCGATGTGGAATTGGTCTAAAACCCAGGTTATTTTAGGATTTGCTTTCTGTTGCACTTCATTTTGTTATTGAAATTGTAAAAGAAAGCTTGCCCCATAGAGGTGTTGAAAACTCAAAGCTGTAATAATTTGTAGTTTTAAGAGAAAACAAAACAAAACCAAATGTCTTTGCAATGTTTCTGACGTAGCTTCGTCCACTTGGAGTCATAAATGCCTTTTTAAATTCAGCGCAGCTATTCTTGCTCTTTAATGGGTTTAGTCAGCCACAATCTTACGCAGACACACAGGCACATGTGCACGCATGCATCTTTAGTGAGAGTAAGTCAGCGCGTTAGAGCTGATAGAGGAGAACTGAGCAAGACTCTTGTATTTATTAGATGTGTTCCTAAGAGAAATGGGGTTTGTTTGACACTGTAGTGGTGTATTTTGAGAAACGAGTTTGTGGTGTTTTGCTTTCCTACTTAACTTCATGACGAGAATCAGCTGTCATGTCAGTTTATGGCTTGAGCAGACTATTGTTTGTGCAGCACCCTCCCTGCTGCTGTATTTACTAAACATGTGTGATGCACAAACGCCAGTAAACTGCATCTTGGAGTATATTTCCTAGTTGCTAGCAAAAAACTGTCTTTAGAGCTTGGGCTGTTTAAATCTAGGGAGAATGTGCATTGAGTTTAACATGAACAGGCCTAAATTTTGAATTATTCCTCCTCAAACTATTTTGATGTGAAGTCCGGGCCTTAGAGAAATCAATAGCAAACCTTAAGCATCCTTCAATGGATCTAGAATTTTGCTAATGAAGAGCAAGGTTTAAATATATAATAACATTGTCCCATTGACTAAAACCTCTTTTTTGCTGTTCCAGTATTGCAAACATACAGACTTACTTTATTTGTGGATTCTCTCACTTCCTCCTCTTGGAGTACTTCCCACCTTCTAGAGAAAAACAGTTGCAGATTTAGCCATCCCATTAACATGGACTGGAGGGAAGTGCATTCCTGCTTCATGTGGCGATGTAGGACTGCATTGCTGTTCTCTTTTCCCAGTGCAATGCCTGTGTGTACTTCAAATGTATATACCTCTGTTGGTCGTGGAAGAGAAAACATGAGTCTTGCTTCCAAGAATAGCAGGTAGCCTGCCAGGGGATGGATAACTTGCGTTCAGTCTTTGTAGCAAGTGCTAGGACCCAGGTTCCACTGCCCTGTTCTCTCATGTGCTGCACCTTCCTTGGTAGACTAGATAGCACACCTCCTTAGGCTTCCTTTCTGAACCAGAAAGAACATCTAGAAAGCCTTTCTAGTCTATGGAAAGTGGAACAGCTTTATAAGAGGAAGGAAAATGCCTTCCACCCTTATAAACTGGTAATTTGCATCTTCTGAAGCAGAGAAAGGAAATGAACCAGTGTCTCCCACATCCTGAGTGGTCTGACCACTAGAATATTGCACAGGAGCAGGATATCACTGTGTATGTGGGTGGTATATTTGATTCAAATGGTACAGTACAGTCCTGTTCAGCTTCTGGAAGATAGGGCTTAGATATATCTGCCTTGGTGGAAAGATTCAAAGGAAGGAGTGGTTTGCGTAAAGCTAAGCCTAAGTAAGGGCAGAATCTAATGTTTATCCAGGCAGATGGTTCCTCATGGCTAACACAAGCAAATCCCCTTTCACACAGCCAGGTTTGCACCTGAGGCACCTAACCCTCCCGGTGGTGCCAGGTGAGCACAGCCTCAGGAGTTGATGGTGGATCGTGGGAACCTCACTGTCCTCTGTCTGCAGGATCCCCTGTTGCTTCTTAACTCTGAAAACATACAGGATGAGTGCTCTGTTAACACCAGTTGCTGATTACTTTGGCTGTATTTCCTAGTGGCAGTCAAGCAGAGTGTTGTATCCAACTGTTCATTTTAGGTGTTTTTCTGCAGAATCTCTCCCTGTAAAATATTGCTCCTGTTCCTGGTATTTCTTACTTTCTGCATGACCAGACCCAACTGTTCTGTAAATGGAAGTGAGGGGGGGAAGCTGTGCAATCAGTACCTGCAGCTGTGTCATACCTAAATATGGTGCAAATAGGGACATATTTCTCCACATACTCTTTTGAGTATCTACCTATAGATCTCCAGTCATGTTGGTAACTCCAGTGGAGGAGGAGCAGGAATCTTTTTCAGTATTGGACCCTGATAGCTGCCAAACATCAGTTGTGAAGTACCTATTTGACAAGTAGTTTGATTCACTTGAGCTTTCTCTTCCTTTTCCAGGTCAGTGAAACACCCATTTTTGTGCCTGGTGTCTGGGGACCTTATTTCTCTGCAATGGTACCTGGACTGTGGTTGAATGAGGGAGGTCAAAGTGCTACAGGCAAGCTGGTAAGTGTTTGGAGAGGCAAACAGACTCCAAGACGGGAGGTCTTGTGTAACTGCTGTCATTCAGGATAGTTTCCCAGTCAGTTCAGGCAGATCTCTGCCTGAAAAACCTTTGTAAGATTACAGGAAATAACATGCTGCTGAAAGCAATAAACAGTTGATTGTTATCTCTCTCACAAACTGATAGGGGATTATATATGGGGCAGAGCACTAAGGGCATGTCTTTTTATGATGATGGTGATGATTATTGTGATTACTTTCAGGCAAATAAGCATTCATTCTTCAGCAGGAGGTTGAGATAGACTTTGAGATAAAGAAAATTATACCTGTTGTGTTATATAGAACAATTTGCCCATTGATGAGAATAAATGAGAGGCATATTGTATGGACACAGTAGTAATATATTAGTGTGTTACCCTGCCTAGATACTGCATATATTGTCACTTCAATTCTTTCCTTGGGTACAAAGTGTCTAACTATGTTAGGTTAATTTAATTTATCAATAAAAACTGGACTAGATTCTCTAAAAGTGAATTTTCTCATTTACAGGGAGTCAGTCAGAACTAAACCACAGATTTCAAAAGGAAAGAAAAGCTACATGTATAGAGCAGCATTCAGGCTTGAGTCCAAAACTGTCAGCAGGACCTTCGTGACTGCTTAACCCTGGAAGCTTCTCAAGCTCCTGGTGTGTGCTCAGTCTGCAGAAATACTGACTGCCCTTAGGGGTGAGCTGCCAGGGTCCTCTTGAGAAACTCCAGGAGGTGGGCGCAGTGCTGCGGGTGTCCCCTGTAAGCTCACCAAACACACAGCTGGGTTGGGTCTTTCACAGATTGCTGGTGTAATTGCCGTCTTACTCACACCTAGCATCACCCACCTTTTGAAAAGCCTTGTGATCCGGTACATGTCCAGGAAGTAGTAGATTGGGCCATCACTGCATTTATACATTCCATACGGAACAGTCACTGAATGAGAAACAGAAATAATCCTGGATCGGGAAGCCCCAACACACCCTAAGTGCTGTGAATTGGTGTTCCCTCCTGTGCTCTCTCCTTGGCCACGTGAATCTGACATTCCTGTCTGTACAGTGTCAGAGCTTCAATGGGAGAGTCATCCCTCTTCCTCTCCTGCAACCTCCAATTCCCATCCCATCTCCAACTCATCCTTAGCTAAATGGTTAAACCGCTCTTGCAGCAAGTGGGATGTGTGTGCTTTACATGTTTCAGGTTGAGATGGGGCTAGAACCCAAGTGTCTCGTTATATAGGTAACCACTACAACCAGGAGTTAGAATGAAATCGCTGCTTATGACACCACTGCTCTAAAAGGAAAATGGCAAATCTTGTGCCCTTCTTTGTAAGAACACGTTTTGAGAGGAGAAGTCCCTTTGTGCTTAATCCAGAGCACGTAGAGACACTTAACAAAGCTCTAGAGAGGATACAGTAAGTCAGCATTTTTTCTTGGCTGGCTCAGGGTAATTCCACACTTAAAACATACCGATGAGAGTTAGGACCTTTCAGAAAGGTGATTTAAAAAATCCTTTCCATTCTAGTAGCAGAGAATAAAGACATTCCTGAGTCATTAAAGAAACTGCTGGAAAAAAAATGTATGGTCTTGTTAGGACTCATAGCAAGTGAGCTCTGAGTCCTGCTCGGTGTATTAGGGAAGCTGTCCTGTTAAAACATTCTTACAATATCTCATGTGGTTTTCTGGGGGTTGTATGTACAGAAGACACATAGGGAGCTGTAAGGAGAAGCAGAGTATGTGCAATGCGTGGAGGATAGAGTGCATTCAGTATCTTTGTAATTGTAAAGCCGTCTTTAGGATCCTGCTTTCTCATACTTCAGGTTTTCTGAAAACAAGAACAAAAAGGACATGTTTTGGGATTCTTTTCTTTGCTTGATCTTTGCCCAAAGGTGAATTCTTCTCATGAAATTCGAAGAGTCAGTTGAACTTGTTAAACGTAAACCCGATACACTTCCTTTTCCAAATCTCTAATTAATTTTTCTATTGATACAGCTGTGAAAAAAGTCTGTTGGGCTTTGAAAACTGGTTCAGTTGGAGTCCAAATGAAGAATTAAGAACACTTGCTTTAAAAAAGCGGGTTTGTTTGAGTGTAACATGGGCTTTTGCACTGAATTTTCAAATCTTATAGGAAGGAAGGTACTGCACAACAGACACAAAGGGTGGCATGTCATCATTACAGACTCTGAAATAAAGAATAGCAGGAAAGGGGTTCTAGATGCAATCCTCATGTGGCCATGTCTTGAATTAAGGGCATTTAGATATCTCACTTCCTAACTTCTGTAATGTTTTTGTGCAAGTGTTTCCATAGCACACATGTATATATGATATTTATTTATAGATCTAGTTCTGAATTTATGAGCTGCTCCTGTGTTCTACAGAAGTTATGCAAGAGTGCAAAGCTCAGACCTGAGCACATTTGACTTGTGTCTTTGATGCAGATCCCAGACAGAACAGGCATGCGTTATTTTTATTGCTGTGTTCAGATGTTGTGCTTCATTATAAGTTTTCCTACACTGGTTAAGGACTAGGCTCATGCTGTTAAAATTAAATACCTCATGTGGATTCCTGCCAATAGGTATTGCCCAATATATGCAGTGCTCTTGAGTAGCTCTAGTTTAGCCTCCATAGCTTTTGCTGTCACTTCTGATGGGGTATTACCAAGAGGCCACAAAACTTGCTGAATTATTGTCTTAAAAGCCCATGTTATTCTACCTGCTCCTTTGTTTTGTGAGTAATGGTGGCCACTCTGAAGTGAAAGGACAAGCTGATTTATAAATTTAGTCTAGGACAGAGCCTATATTGATCTTTTTTTTATAGCAACAATTGCTTGTCAGGGTATACGTTTTGTTTCCTGCAACGAACACGTGAGCATCTGTCAGGATGACAACCCACCCGGTGGTTTATTATAATAGATATAGAAAGATGTAGGGATTTGGGCCAAGAAGATGTTCCTGGTAGAATTCCAATGAGGGTATGCATGCAAGAGAATGGGAGAGGCTGGAGAACATGCTCTCAGGTAGTGTTGGCCAGGAAGAAAGTCATCCTTTCAGCTTGCTCCTCCAACTAAGGAGCTGCATGCTTAGCATTCTGCCTATTTTTGGTGTACAGTTGATTGTTTTTCCTTCCTGCTTTTAAGCCAAATCCTGCATCCAGTAATGTCAATGGGAGTTCTGCCATTGGCTTCACTAGGACTTAACACCTCATGAGTAATTTAGAAGCTGTCTTGTCTTTTTAAAGTAATGACACTGCATTACCCTTTACCGGGACTGAAGCTTGAAGATGTAACCGTCCCCAAAATGTTGCTTTGCTCTTTTTCAGGTAGATCATGTGGTCCGAGGCCATGTCGCCTTCCCGGAATTACAGGCAAAAGCTGCAGCCAGGTCACTCTTCTTATTCCTTTATCTCATTACCTGCCTTACAGATTGATGATACAGTGTATTCCCAGCAGTGCCGAACTGCGCTGCTGTATCCCTATTCTGAAACAAGGGAATTAACAGGCTGATAGTGGGTTGGAAGTATTTACAAAGGCTTGCCAGGGGATTGCTCAAAGATGAAAGCTTTAAACTCCCTTCAGATACTTTTGGCATATCTAAATGGTGATATTAACTTTCTGCTTTTTGACTTCTTTTATATCCAGCCCATTTCTTGATATCATAGCAAGTATGTTCAGCAGACCTTTAGGCCTTAGGCTAATGATGTGTCTTAATTTGACCCTGTTAAGCTTCAAGGATGAGATATAGCTTATTAGGAATATATTATTCAATATTTTGGAGCAGACATCTAAAGGAAGGTAGAGCCATTGTATGCAAAACTCCTGCATGGCAGCTCAAATAGAACAGAGAAAATCAGGATGAATTTCAGACAAAACTTGAGATGTAGGAGTGAATTGGAGGTAATTCCAGGATTCCTTGAGCGGGAGGCTGTACGGTGTGGAATTTAGTTTGGTCTGCTTCAGAAGTGGACGAAGACAGTCCAGACACTTCTGTCAGATCTGGATTTTCTCAAGCTTTTTTTGGCTTGGATTCCTTTAAGATGGTTCATGTCACTCCCAGAGAGATCTTAGCTGAACACTTGGCAGATTGGGTGAAAATCTGATTCTCTTTTAATTTCTTTTTCCTCCTTAGACTAAAGAAAAACCCGGCAAACTCAGCAGTTTATCTTCTGTTTGTCACTCTGATCTAAAAGGCATGGGTCAGTCCTGATAGATGTATCAAGTGCATGCAGTTATACAGTGATTTTCAGTCCTCCCTGGGGGGATAAAGCTACCTGGTTTCTCTGGATGACCCTTTCTTCCTTTGTAGTGCCCAATGCCTTATTTGTTTGTTAGCAGCTTGACCAGCATTCCCAGAAATGTATTGGACTTCGTTCAATCTGAAATAAGATTCATGCTTCCTAGAATTCTCTTTATTGTTCCTTAAAAAAGGAAATCAGGAAATAAATACATCTGTGTATGTTTGGAATGAGGATTGATCTGGGGGCTTGTTTTGTTTGGGGGTTTTTTTTCCAAACTTGTGGCTTCCAGGCCTTTTTTCCAGGGCCCACATATGAAGACAAACAATTAGTTTAGTCTGTAATGCCAGGATAAACCACTTCTTTTGTGTGTTGGAAAACAGTATAGAGTAGCCAGCTTGTCTGTATTAGGTCTAATACTGAACTGACCACAGCTCATAGTGCAAAAAGCATGGATCGTGATGGGAATAGGACCCTAAATACAGAATATGGGGAGCAGAACTTCATCTTACCCAAGTGTATGATGTTATAACTTTGGATTTAGTTCTCCTGTGGTTAGCACAACTGCAAAGGATACAATTGATAAAAAGGTTTCCAGTATTTTACAAAAAGGATGATAATATTTTATAAAGTTAATTTGCTCACTGGTATTTTTATGTTTTCCAGCTATTACTCTCCTAATGAAATGTTTGGATAGCTGTAAATTTAGTAAGCAACTTTCTTCCTTGTTTCCCCTATTTTCTTTCTTCCTGTTCTTCACTAATAGTGATTAAATTTATAAAGAACTTCATTTGAACACACAAAAATCAGGAACTTCATGATTTAAATGGAATTTTTCTCCATATTTCTTCATTTCTTTCTGTACATGGAGCACAAGCTTCAGCCTCATCGCAGGGACTAGCAGCGGTAGCTATGCAAGTGAACAGTGTTAGCCCAGCCTTTGGAGTACGTATTTACTTACATAAAGTGATATACTTAATAAGAACACTGTGTCCTGCTTTGGGGGATTGTTGGTGATGATGATAAATTATTTGCCTAGAAATCTCAGCAGAGTATTTCAGAGAGTCAGGTTTTATATTTAGTGTATTCTCTGTGTGGGTGTAGGAATTTCTGTCTTCTGTTCAGCCATTGCAAATGGTCATCAAAAGAAAACAGAATGAGAATTCCATACTTACATGTGCAGCTGTGCATTACCTTCACATCCCATGCGAGGTGCAACACTGTGAAGAGTTAAGCTGCTTTTGTAGTGACAAAAAGCACATGCATGTCTGGATCGCTAAAGGCTGAGGTCACAGATCCGTGCCTCTTCCTTGCTGCTGCCTGTCACCTACTTCTGCCTTCCGAAACCTTTCTTTCCTTTTTCCCAGGCTTCCAATGCTGCTAAGAAGTAGGTTTGGGAATGGCAAACTGCCTGCTGAGCAGCTGATCTCAGAAGCTCCACTGAGCAGGCTTCTGGTCCTTTGCCTACCCCAGAAGCAAGAGTTTGCAAGCTGCATTTATCGCTGTCCAGTAGTTTGTGGTAACTTGTCAGGGCACGAGCAGCTTAGGAAGACTTGCCAGAAACCAGCTCCTACTGACCACTTGTGCTGAAGACCAGCCTTGTGCAGCCCTCCCAGTGCTATTCCTATGTTCTCTCTTCACTTCTTTTACTGGAAGTGGAGAGAGTTGAATTACATGTGGATTTTCTGGACAGCTGTAGATTTAGGATTTGGTCTAAGTAATTGGTATACTTGACCAACAAAACTTGTTTTTTTCCCTTGCAATCCAGTCAATTGCAGAAATTGCTGCGTGTATAAGGACTTTTGCTCTTCAATCTATATATTGTGTAGGTCTGACACCCAGCCAGCACTAAAATGTTGCATCCTGTACAGCCAGGCTAAAGTAGGAAATGAAGAAATAATATGATCATTTCTGCTTTAAACTTTAAATCCTTCTGTTTCCTAGAATCACAGTTTTTAATCTGGAGGAAAAAGTGTCTGACAGCAAAGAATATATGCCCTTTGGCCCTTTGTGAAGCAAAAGCAGGATTTCCTTTCCTACACTTCTTGATGTCATTTCCCCATCTAAAGAGATGTCTCCTGAATAAAGCATTGAGGTTAGACACACGGTATCAGATCAGCAAGGTATCATAAAGATCTGGGGTCTTTCAAGCAGAATATAACAGTCATATTTGGCTGTTCTCTGTACCTCTAGATGTTTTAGAGCCCTTTTTTAGATTTAGAAATCTAATATTTTTAGATCTGCTTTTTCCTGAAAGATACCTGCTGGCATCTTCCAGAATTCCTAAACATTCAGTACCAACCTCTCGCTGCTTTCTGCAGTTATGTCCCACATATGAACAAAACACTGGGCAAACTTGCATTCATCTCTTATTCTCCACTTTCCACGCAGAACCTGTTTAATAGCAGTAGCTTTTGCTCCGCTCTGCAAGTCAGATCCAGCTGCTACTGATACCTTCTCCTAGGACTGAATAGAAGAAGCTCCAGAGAGCTGATTGTGTAATATTATGTATAACACAAACACAGTAGAAGCTGGAACTGGAGAGTGTTTGAAGGCTTTTACCAGTCACTCAGTCCAAACGTAGTGCTCTGAACCCATATCTATATGTAGAGGGCAGAAAAAAAGGTGTGAAAAAAAGTGTAATTCCAAGATTATGTGAGTCTTAAGCCTATTTGGCTGAACTTCAGCCTCTTTTGTACAGCCCTTGTGTTCTGCCAGAGCTGCACGAATGGCTAATCCTCGCGAGGGTAATCAAGCAGGATGGCGATCAGATAGAAGCGGGGATGCCTGGTGGGTCTGTGGTTGAGCAAAGCTCTCCTTTCTTTTCCTCCCTATAGTCAAGGCATGGCTTAGACTGGAAACAAAATGACTTTGTCCTCAGCATGCACTGCTTATAGTGCCGTCCTTAGGGATGTAGAAAACAGGGCCACTTTACAGCAAGGAGGGAAAAATGATTGTGACCTACAAAATTATCATAATTCAGGTCCAGGAAGACACATAAAGTACATTTTAAAGTACGTGAATAATGATGTAAATTAGTTATTTTAATGTCTTCCAAGTGTACTTCATTTTGAATGATACCCTCTGATAACGTACACATGGTAAGGTATAATTGAAAAAACATGCAGCTCAATGCTTGAATGCAAAGTATAAATATACAGCTGCTAGCAGGTCAGAAGTCAAACTAGTAAAGCATATGCCAAATTCCCTTAGGGATCTCATTAGTGCATGATTGAATATACATGTAGAGGCTAAATGAATATCACTGTTTGGGTCTACAGTGGATGAGACAATGACTAATCAATTGTAATTAGGGTTAGATGCTCTTATTGACCCACATGGCTAGAATTAAATGCCCCTCTTGGAGATTTCCAAGGAGTTGAAAAATATATAGGAATCTGTTTATGATAGTAGGAGGGTTTGGAAAAATATTCCAAGCATAATTGCAACATTTTTTACATGGAATGTCACTGGAGTCACTGCAAGCCAAGGCACTGAAGAATTCACCATTAATCCTAAGATTACTTTTGGTCGAGGAAAAAGTCTGTTGGATATTGTGGCATTGGGTGTAGCATCTGCACTTAGATACAATCATATTTAGGCCCATGTTCGGCTCCTCCCTAAAATAGCAGCCACTTGCTTTCTGTCCTCCACCCTTAGTGCTGCATTTTAATCATAACACACACTGAAATAATCACGGTTTAAAAAAGGAAAGCTCTAAGTCCGGTGCTATTGATTAATCAGAGCAATTCCTAAACATTTGCAAAGGAATTTGATTTTCATTTTTCATTTTCATCATTCCGTATCTGGGATCCTCCTGATTCCTCTCTCTCAGCTTTCTCTTTCACAGTGTCAGCATCTGTTGAAGACAAGCATCACCAGCCCCCAAAATATCAAACACCTCTGGCTCATCTAGTGACCTGTAGGAGTCAATGTACAAGCTCAGGATCACAAACTGCCATTATCTCCCCTCATCCTGAGAAACCAAGGAGTTGGGATGGCCTGTTGAAAGGATGTGCAGATAGACATCCCCACTGCCCACACTCTGCAGTGCCGTGGGCTCCACAAGCCATTGGTTCTGCCTTTCCCCTGTTTTGTTTTAGATCTGGGATTTGCCATTCTTTGATGGGGTTTCTGCATTTGATGGTGGTACCAATGCTTTGTGTTTGATGAATAACCTCCCCCATTCTTTTCCAACTTGTTTTTTCTTCCAGTGCTCACAGTATATATACATACTTGAACAGTCACCTGGATCTGATTAAGAAATCTTTGCCTGTGGGTTTCCTCACTGTTGATTTACATGTTTGGCCAGATTTCCATGGTAACAGATCTCCCTTAACAGATCTGACACTAAAGGGCATGGTAAGAAACAGCTTGTCTCTGCAAAAGGGTCAATACTGGGGGAAAAGGGGAAAAAAAAGTTTGGAAGGCTCATACTCCTCCTTTAGCTATTTAAACTATCCCATAGGATTTGGGTTTCTTGCTGCATTTCTAATGTTCCAGTAGAAAATCTAAAGTAGTAGATCCTTGTAGCTGAGATATCACTACAGCCACGTTTCTTTTCTAACAATATAAGGAGTGTTGCGTGTGTCTCTGTATCTTTGCTAGGAATCACATTTCAGAGCACTGACTGGCAGCGTTGCTGTTGTTAATTCACCTGCCTCCTGCATTTTGCAATGAATTTGTCTATCTGGAAAAGGAATGAAATATTCTGAGGAGGGATTGCTTGATTTAAACACAAAGATTCAGTAAATGTGCTGTATTAGAGTTGTTGGGGAGTAAATTTCAGTAGACACTGAAAAACTCCTTATTGTTAAAAATGGGCATAAATGCTCTTGTGATGGGAAATAATGCACCTGCGGTGCTTCATACATCTTTGTTCCGAGGTAAACCTGATCTGGTTCTGAGTTGTGGTTTTAAACCTGCTGCTTGTGGAACTGAAAGGGATTGAAATACTGTGTTCTGTGCAAAGACATTTTCAGAGCATTGCAGTCGGGGGCCAGAAAGAGCAGCCTTTGGAAGTTCACCAGAGGATCTCTGCTGGGGAGATTTTTATCCCCTCTTGAGATGTTGGATGTTTCTCTTCACTGAACTTCACGGTGGTCGATCGGGCAGGTTACAAGCCAGGATGTTACTGTGCAGAACTGTCATAGGAGAATATCATACGGGTGTAATTTGATAATACCTGGTGATTAATGAAAACACATACTTCAAAATGGCATATTGTCCTTGAAGTAAGCATCTCAAGTGACTCACCAGCACCAAAACCTGCTGTATTGGAGGCTGAGCTAGGAAAAGGGTAGGTGAAAGAACTACAACACGTTTTGAATCAAAAACAAATGGATGGTTTATATATTTTTGGGTCCCAATAATACCTGTATTATTTTATGAAAGAATTATATGCCACAGCAGGATCAGAATTCCTTTGGTGTGATGGCTGTGTGCAAATACTGGTAAAAGCCACAATTTTTACTGCCGCAGTTATGGCTGCCTTCAGATCTTGCCTATGCTGATACAAATCCATAGTAAGTACAGTGCACTATTGATTTATGTCAGAGTAAAGGAGGTTAAGATACAGTCTTTAATTATTAATCGTGTTTCAGTGTTAGGGTGCTTGGAAGGGAGGGGGAAAAATGCTTTTAAAAAGTTATTTTTATGTAATAGCATTTTCGTATTATTACATTAAATACATTCACGAGCAATATCTGAGTCACAACATAAACCTGTCAGAGTTAATCTGGCTCTAATCCCATACAATATGCTGTTTGTTCTTTATTTCTTTGCAAGAGCACGAACAATGTATGTGGTTCTTCCCCAGATCAGGAATAACATGTTTAACATAACATTATGTGTACAGCTCACCAAAGTAAGGCTTAGAATTAGCCCTTAAAACTTGTTACAACAAGAAACCATAGCAAATAACAGAGTTTTTACTTTGGCTGGATCTTTACATTTTCTTTTTGATCTTTGCACAGGTTGTTGGGCTAACATTGTCTCAGGGTCTGGATGAACTTGCCCTTATCTACTTGGCCACGATTCAAGCCATTGCTGTAAGCCATTTTAAGTGCATAAAGGAATAAATGAATTGTCTCATGTTCTGTGGCAGACTGATCATTCCCTTCTGCTAAACAGATTTCTAATAATAGATGAATTCACTTAATGGACTTCTTAAAGGAGCAAGATGTTATTTACCCACATTGATGACTACTACCAACTGTAGGATAATGTCTCCTAAAAAGTTTTCTTATGGCAATTTTGCGAATGGAGCTTTTGCCTGTACTGCAGATGCGAGGAGAGAGGCTGGTACCGCATGGGGCAGCGTTACCATCATGGGCTGCTAGAGGAAATCTAAGAGAGTGGGGGAAGAAATACCTTTGGCAATTGTATGAAGGAACTTGTGCTCCCCTAAAATGCCTCAGCTTCAGATTGTTCCCAAATCCATGGGTTTCCCCTGCTCGCCTGTTAGATGAGTCACAACTCTGTACCACAGCAAGTCAGTGGGGCTGTGATTCAGTTCATAAAGCTACAGACTGAACACACCAAATCTCATTGCTCCCTGGTTTCCCTGCTGCAAGGTGGGCACATGTCTCCTGTGCAGTGATTCCAGCCTGTGGTGTGTTTCTGTAAAGGCAGGCAAGGAGACTGTATGAAACATCCTGGATTGAGACAAGGAGACTGTATGAAACATCCTGGATAACATGCAGAGATGGGTAATTTTATTGGAACACTTTTGTTTCTGCCCTAATTTTCTCTCCGACCCAGGATTTCCAGTTCACAAGGAGTTCTATTTGGAAGTGAAAACCTGGGTCAAAGAAGTTGTTTTGAAACCTGGCGCAGGGTGTTTTCAATGGGGCGTGCTATCCCCAGGGATTTGGTGACTGAAATCCACATTTCTTTGACATCCTTTTTGTGATTTCTTCTTTTTTTTTTCCCCTAAGTCTGTAGAACTTGAGGTGTTTCTGCAGACCATTGACAGTTTGATGGATTGGGGAGTTTTCTTGACAAAACTGTTCAGTTGGGAAACTTCCAAACTCCTCTACTGGTTAAACAACAACTTTGCTAGGCTGGGTCAGCCATCTGGGATAGAGAGGGTGGGCGGCTGCTGTGAATTCCCTGTGGATTGTACATCTTATGTGTTAACCCTCCCTCTTCAGCAAATACCTTCACCCCGGCCTGGAATTCATTGTTGTGAGTTTGGATCCTTTTGAAGATGAATGTGGCTTGGTTACACCTGATGCTTCAGTATAATCCCACCATTTCAATAAGAATGTCTAGGAGAGTTTAAACAATGCCAGGGACTGATATTGCCCCTGAAAGAGGCTTTCCAGAGTGGAACAGGTGCCTCCGTTATTATACCGTGCTAACGAAGTGGAAACCTTCCCTGCTGGAAATCCTGGGAAAGTCACCTATTATCTCACTATATGATACAACTCCGATTTCATTGTGAAACACAACTACACAACTGTTGAACGCTATATTCAGCATCTTTTTGACAGCTGCTTGTGCTGATGGTGAGATTTAATAGAAGAGGTTTTCTTTAAGTTAATGGAAGTTCATTTTTCCTAAAGCACTATTGAAACAGTAACTAAGAAGTAGACAGAGTAGGCTCAGGTTTGACTCAATATATTTGCTCATTGCTAATGTGATACCTGGGAAATTTCATTTTCCTCCTATACTCCGTCACTCCCAATTTTAGCTTTGCTTTTGTGGATGGAAACAGTTCTAGTTCAGGACAGCCCCAGTCCTGTACCATTAAATGTCTTCAATGGGTGCAAGATAAAACTTAAACCTAAGCAGAAGTGCTGTAAAAGGCTCGGGCCTGCCCACAGAATGTTAATCTCTGGTTTTCTTTTCAGCAGGAGAAGCTTTTTTTTCTTTTTATATAACATTTGCATTTGAAGCCCCTCAATTTGCATTTTCTCCAATCCAGGATTAAATTAGTTCCCCCCCACGCACAGTGAAATAAGTCTGGCTTTAATTTAACTTGCGATGTGAATACAATTTTCCAGGCAGGTAAACACAAAATCATTTTCACAGCGTGTTCTTTCTAAGGGTCTCTGACGTGTGTGTGTTGGGAGAGAAGCTGTTAATAAATTTGAATTCCAGAAGCAGGGGAAGAGAATATCCTTTTAACCATTCATTGCCAACCGCGATGCAACAGTTAAGACGGATGAGAACATGACCCGAGATATAATTGTGGCTGTCAGGCCCATTCGGAGGAGACGGGCTCTTTCTGGAGCAGTTTATTTTTCCATAATTAAAATGGTGGCTGTGTGATTTGGAAATTAGCCCGCTGTGTCCATAGGGAAGTGATGGATTTAGTCAGCTGCTGTTGCGGCTGCTGAAGTTCCTCCTAACCGCTTGCCTGAGAAACCAAAACATATTCGAAGGCCTCTCCAGAATGGTGCCAGTCATTCATAGTGAATGTCTCCAGTCTGATGGAACTCTGCTCGCTTCAATTTCCAGTAGTTTTATTTGAAGAGGGGTTTATTGCAGGCTGCAGACCTTGTAATGAACCTGCAGCGTAGCATAAAGAAAACTTAGGTGATGGTTGGTGAAGACTTTGAGCAGATCATGTTTTGTAGGGAACCTCCCTATGAAGAGTCAGCCTGGGCAAAGTTTTGGCTGGAATTTGGCGTGTTGTCAAGTCTGAGCTTCAGAATTAACTTCCAAGGTATTATAAAGAGCTGGGAATCAGTTTTGGGCAAACAGTTTGTCAAAGAAACGGAAAATGTTCTTGCAAGAGGAAAGGGGGAGAAGGTTGACTTGGGTGAGGAGTTGGAGGCAAGCAAAGCAAACAGAAAGAGGAAAGATTGGTTTAAAATGGTGAAGCATTTGCTTTCATCATTCACAGAGCGGAACAGGGAGCTGCTCTAATTTGGGTTTCTCAGAATGGGGACTGTAAATGAGAAGTTTAAAAATATGCCTGCATTTTAGATGTTTCAATTAATCCAGACATAAAATGGAACATTTTATTTTGCATAGGGCAAAGGCCAAGAGAAATAGTAAAGCCAAGACAAAATTCCTCAGGTTTTCCTTTTTTGCTGAAAAGACAGAAAATACAAGGTTCTATTTGCTTCTTTTTTTGTTCTGTTTTCTTATTTGGCCTCGGCCTCAGAATCTCTTTACCAAAAGTTATTTTCAGATACTGTTATCCCAAGTAAATAGAAGGTTTTGGTGGGGATGTCTTTGCCAGACAGGTTTTAGTTTTGGATCTGGAAATGTTTTCCCTACTCAGCTGTACTTGGTCAAAACAGCTGCTTATCACTGCCATCAGCTCTTCCTGGTGCCTGTTCCTCTGTCTTCTCATCATCCCTTCTCATAATCCCTTATAAACCCAAAGGCTTCAGCTTTGTCAGTAGTTCCCTGCAAGCCCCATTTCCCTGTGTTACTGTGTACTGCTAAGCCTCCACTCCCTCAGCCAGCCCCGGGATGTTTCCTGCAATGTGTTGTGCCATGTATTTCCCAGTTCTTTGTGCCATCCGTTTCATTTTTCGCCTTAATTTCAATGCCTGTTCCTGGCTGGAAGCTGGACAGATTCCATAGCCTTGGAGTCCCGTTCCCAGTCCCCTGGTTACTGGTAGGGGCAGTTAATAGTATCATTCTTTATAGCAAATTGAGCTTTAAGATCTGTTCCCGTGGCTGCTCCCCTGTGCTCATCTGGTTTCTTTTTTGTGTTTTTTCCCCCTTTTTGAAGTTAGGAACAAGACATATTTTGGAAACTATGCAGGCTGCAGGGCATCATATCAACACACTGTTCCTGTGTGGTGGGCTGAGCAAGAACCCTCTCTTTGTGCAGATGCATGCTGACATTACTGGTAAGTTAGAGGGAGAGGAGTGTAAACTATTTTAGGTGGCTAAATACTTTGTCTTTGGAAAAATAAAGACTTCTCTTTCTATAGAAGTGTATTTAGCTGGTTGGCCAAGAAGTATGCACTGAAATGTTTTTCGCAATCAGATTTATAAAAGATAATCTGAATTTTTCTATAGAAATGATTCCATTCAGTCATATTTCAGGATTTTAGATGAGAATAATGCCCATTACATTTTGTAAGCATGTTTTGCCTAACTTGTGTTTTATTAAAGCCTCCGTTAGCTTCATCCTATTTGAATTCTTTTGGAACTCTGACAGTTCCTGCTCTTGCGGGGCATTGTATCCATTCTGTAGAACAATTCTTTTCCAGATTGCTTCCATGTCTGTATTATTAATAGGGTTTCAGCCACAATTCCTGGATTCTTGCTCCTGCATGGTGCTGCGTTTGGTTTTGTAGGATAACTGATGGGTGGAAGCTCTGGGTATGTGGTTCATCACAAGAAGTCTCAGGCTTGGTCTCCCTTAAGCCTGTGCGTGTTGGACATCTCAGCACACCTGGGAGCCAGTTGAATATAGTTTTAAAAATGTGGAAAAAATAACAAAATTTAGTGTAAAGGACTTCAAAGCACCTTTGAATGATGTGTGCTTTGGGTATATGTCAAATTCAGACCACTTGAGCTGTCATGAATAAAGTTGAAGGCTCAGATTTGGAGCATTAGGGCTGGAGATCTGACTTGTCCTAACATCAAACCACACTTCATAACCTTGATGCAGGAGGGAAGATGAAAATACACTTTATGTACTTACCTGAGATGAAAACAGAAATGGAGAAGCAAAAAGCATAATGCCTGTTGACCTTAAAATTCACTAAATGCATTGTGAGCAAAGTGACGCTTTGGGTTTGTGAGAAACAGTGTTGTCGAGTCTGTGCCTTTCCCTGCGGAACTCAACCGGTTTAGGTGAATTTCAGCTATGTGTTGAGTTGGGATGCTGGCTCACGATGCGTGAAATAAAAGATCTGTGAAAAGGTATTCTGATTAAAATGTAATCAGAAGTTCTTTGACTGTAACTAATGGCCAAGTACAATTCAGTACAAAAAGGCCTTTTTGCAGTCTGGAGTTCTCCCCCATTTGTAAAATCAGTGACTGACAAGGGATGTCAGAGTTCATCTAACTGAAATGCTCTTGGTTATGTTGAACTCATTAGAGCCTATCAGATAAAATAACTAACATTCCAGGATCAATCCCCCATTCTTCCCCCCAAAGAAAAAAAACTGAATATATTATTGTTAGCAGCAAATGCCCATGACTCAGCCATGCAGACATCCAATAGATCATTTCGCAGGGCACTTAAAAAGTATCTTGATCTTTTTGTTTGCCCCGTAAGAATTCTGTATTCATTCTGATGATGCAGGAAATGTGCAGCAAATTTTAGAGCACGCTGGAAATTGCTTACTGCCTCAATGCCTGGCAGCCAGCCACCGAGCTCTTAGCTTCAGTTTAAGATTGTTCTCTTCCAAGCTGACCCAAGTCCTGAGCTGTGCTCTGTCTGAACTGGAGGAATGCTCAGGTGACTGATCTTCCACTCGTGTTTTTAAGGTGGATTTGTTCGGTTGAAGGGGTGCTGTAATTCCACTAGTTCACTGTTAATAGTCGTTCCAGCAATCAAACAACAAGGTCTCTCCATATCCACTTTCTTTCCCCATCACTTTGCCTGTGCCAACTGCAGGAAGAAAAGGCATGAAGACCCTTGCGGCACCTATATGTTCCTCACTGGAAGATGGTTGTAAAGAGCTTTACACTGGTGGAACACTGCAAAGTTAGCGTCATGTACCTGAATGCTTGGGGTGCAAAGTGAATGTGCTTTTTATCAATATTTGTTTCTTGTATTAATAATTTTACTTCTCATTTTGAGTTGCTTGTGGGCCACTTTAGATCTTCCTCCAGATTTCAGCTCCTTCTGATCTTAGAGCTGGCTCTCAGGAGCAGCATTTTTAGGGCCATAATATCATTAAGGCTATTCACTCCCCCCGTCGCTGTGTTTACATCCTCATTCACTGCATGAAATTATCTCTGATGGAAATTCAGACACATGCCAGACACTGGAGGAATGTTACATTTTTTGGCTTAGTGAGACTAAGCATCTAAAGTACAGCTAGAAAAGTATTTAGACTTCTGCTATTGGTTTAGCTTTCTAAGGAGAATTATGAAAGTTCATTAAGAAATGATTTTTATTTGATTAGGCTTTTTCCTGCTGTTTTTACACCAGTAATACAGGGCTTAGAAAGCACTGTGTGAACCAAAGGGAAGCGTGTTCATGATAGTACCCCTGGGTGATGAAACAATAATTTTTAATGGTACTTCAGAATATATAGTGAGTTTGTTTGTTTGTTTTCCCAGTGTTTTAATCTTGTTTTCCAGCACAATTTGGGAGACAAGATTTCTCTTCTTATTTCATACATAGCTTGTGAGAGTTCACTCGTCGTATTTTCATGGCTTCCAGCAAAACCAGGCTGCCTTGCTTGGCTATATATTTAGAAAACAAACAGAAACAATCTGTTTTTTTTGTTCCTTGCAAAAGAAACAAACAGAATACCGCCCTGTTTTCCCCTCGAGCTCCATTTTTAATAGGCACGTGGGTTTGGAGGGTGTGGGTAAACAGGTTTATACCAAGCCCTCTGAGATAAATAGCTAATGTCAAAGATCTGGGGGATTGTTCTTTGTATGCTTCATGTTCTGCCTAAGTATGTTGCTGAAATTGCTTTATTTAAAGTCTGCATTTTTCTTGGAGCCTGGAACGCCAGAGCAGAGGTTTACATTAATCTATATGGGCTGTAGCTCCAAATGGAGGATGTGAACATGGTTTTCAAGTTCTTTTGATTCCTTTTTTCTTTGTCTTTGCTTTAATTACTTACTGTGCTGTTACTATATTACTGCTATATTCTTCCTAACAGAGGCCTGTTTTTTTCTTGTACAGGCAAGCCTGTTGTCCTGTCCAAAGAAGTGGAGTCTGTTTTGGTGGGTGCTGCTATTCTTGGAGCCTGTGCTTCTGGGGATTTTGCATCTATACAGGTATGCAGTACCTGATTATTATTTTTTCCCCCTAGTTTTAGTGTGTTTTTCACTTTGACATTTGGCACCATGCACAGACTTTAATTCAAGTGGAAAAGTTTGTACCTTCTGCACAGCCAGACAGGAGCCAACATCACTTTTGCTCTACCCTCTTTTTAACTCTGTATGTTATATAGGTGTGTTGAAGGTTCATTTGTCTTTTGACTGTAGGGACATGCAGGTAAAAGCTGCTGTGTATGAAGTTAGGCCATGCAGATTTACAGACAAAAAGGAAATTTGGCAGGGCTCTGATCCTGCAAGAAGGTCACACTTTCAACTTGGTTATATTTGTCCTACTTTGCTTTCTTCATGCTGAGGGATGTTAAACCTAAGAAACAACATAGCACTATTTATGCAGTAAAAAATGACACACCTATGCTTCATCTTGTCCATAGTGAATGCAGAGTTAATAATGAGAATGGAATTTCATGTTTATTCATGTTATTTCAGTGCATTAACAGTTGCAAAAGTAGCAGTAAGGCTTTTATGTTTAGTGGATCAGCCAGAGCATGACTTAGCTGCATTTATATAAACAACAATAGGATAGCCAAACCCAAGGAAGGGTCTGAATGCCCCAAATCCAATCTGTTTTCCCATCTAGTAATTGCACTAGAATGCAACATGTCCTTTCCTCATGCTACACAGGGACACTAAACAGTACACAGCATTCAGTTGGACACAGTTATTTGTCAGGATGGTCCCTGGATACAATTTTCTCTATAACACAGATACTTGTAGGTGAAATTGTGCACAAAAAACTTATCTGAATGTATTTTCTGAATAGGGAGAGCAGCTTCTCAACCTTGTTCACTCGGTGCAGTTCCACTGGAGTCAATGAACAGCTCAACAGAAGCTGAGGGACTGGGCCTTGTTTGACATTGTTCCAAATGGGAAATTTCCAAATGTGAATATTCTACAGTGCTGCTTAGGTTAGCAGGAAGAACAGTTTCCTTTCATGGTAATTTTGCCATAAAAATTAATCCCATTGCAACAAATCTATAATGCAATATATGTATAGCTGTATTTAATAATTTTCCTGCTTGCAAGCAGAACTTGTTTTGATAACTGGAATTTCAGTAGCAACTTTTGATGACAGGACTTCATATTTAATTCTTACTCTCTGTTCATCTTCTGCCTTCAAATACAGAGTTACTTCATTCCAAGTTTAAAATGTTTGCCACTACTATGCAATAACTGAACATCTCAAACCTGATTTTATTGTCTGCCTTCACAGCCATTAGAAAAATCTAATGCTGTGACATTTGCTGTGATGTGTTTTTATAGAATTCTGGTGTGTTCGTTACCTTCAGTTTTTAACTCTGCCCTTCTATATAGCAGTGTTTCAGAAGCATATCCAGTGTCAGAACAGATATGTATATTTTATACATACATACATACAAATATATGTCAGTCTGCCTAGCACACTCAACCAGAAATCTTGTTCAGTGACACTGGATCCTTTGAACCAGCCTCCTCACAAACTTTTTAATTTGAAAAGTGTTTGCCCTTTTACTGTTAAGATATGTCAGGATGTCCCTGCCTCTTTGGTTATCAGAATGGGGTTTGGGTTGTCGTAAGTACAGGTTAGGAAGGTCTTCCTGGAGTAAACTTCCCCTAAGGGCTTACTTGTGACTATAGGGAGCTGGACTGCATGACTTTTTATACTCCCTTCTCATTCCTGATTGAATCAAGTAAGTTAATACCAGTACATAAATAAAAAGTACAAATCGCAATCCAGTCCCTCAGCACTCCATAAGGAGTCTGGTTTTCCAAATGCAGTCTCTGCCTTTTTCAGTGCTTCAGCAGCTATTTGTGTAAGGTCTGGTTCCAAAGGTTTTGCTAGTCAGCAGGAGAGTTTCCTATTGTTTCGCTGAGTTACAGGTCAAGCCCGTGGGCTTCCCTGGGATGTCTCTGAAACAGAACAGGGGGAAGTAGTCTGGAAACTACTGCTATTATACATCCCACTGGGCATTTGTAGCATGTTTCTTTCCATCGTACTGCCTGTGGTGATCACTGGGAGCCAGGTGAGGCCCTGAATCCTATTCAGGATGCCGCAACACATCTGGCAGTGTGAAGAAACCACCCACTAAAGGGTTTTAGCTTAGTGTGTGTTCAGACAATTGTCGTTAGAGAGGTTCCCCCTATGGCAATATCAGTTGTATCATGCAGAAAATAGGTTAGATTATGTAAAAATAAAGAATTCAGCTACATGGAATTAAGAAACAAGAAAGTGAATGCATGGCTTTTGGGGGTGGGGAGGCATAAATGCATATGTAGCACTGCAGTTCAATGGCCTTCTCTTCCATTTATTTTTCTGCTAACATATCCTCCAAACCAAACCTCTCTGCGAGGTGCTGCTGCAAGCATTCAACATTATTGTAGTCTTTGGAAATAATAGAGGTTATTACCTATCCTCTAATAGACGGTTTGTGCTTAATTATTGTGCCTTCCAAAGCTCTTTGTTTGCTCAGTCTAATAGTAAAGGAGAAAATTGTGTTTTTTTTTTTAACCAATAACCTCTTCCCTTATGTCTATGGTTGTTTGAAGGAGAATTTTTACTGTATTTGTCGCAGTGATTGGTCACATTTCTGAGAATGATCTTTGGTCATTTCTGCTCAATGTTAAAATCAAAATGCTTCAAAGCTGTCTGGTTTTCATGGGTTGGCTGATCTCCATTTTCTAAAACTCAAGTATCTTTAAGACAACTTGGAAATAGCACCCAAAGCCAGGATCCCTCCAAATCACTTTTGATAATCTTAGTTCAGCTTTAACATGCTCTGCTGGAAGGACAAAGGGACTGGTTGCTGAACAGACACGTGAAACCCACTTGTGAAAAGCAACAGCAGGGAACTCAACTGCAAGGGAATCTTGTATGGAAGTAGGTGCATGTGTGCTATGTAGTAATGATGTGCACAGTGAGTGATGCTTTAGGGTGAGCTGGTCTGCATGCTAAATGTGATGCCTTGGGGAGGTAGCATGAATTACATGGTAGAGCTGACCTGCTTGTGCATTCTGTCAGAGTAGGGGTTTGGGGCATGGGGCAACCAAGTCAGAGCCAATGTTCCAGTCTGCTCTTCACTCAGAAATTTGGGCACATGGACAAGGTCCTCAAAATCTACCAGGACATTGCTTTTCAATAGAGGAAAACCCAACTCTATGGGTCATCTAGGGAAGACCCAACACTATGGTAACCGTATATAATAATTAGAGTTAGGCTTTATTTAGCTTAACAATTAAGAAATGCATTACAATTGGATCATATTTCCTTATGGGTAAAGTATGTGGCTGTGGGAATTGCTGTTATTCTCATACTGCTGTATTATCCTGATGCTTAGTCCTGTGGCATTCCATCACCAGGATTTGGCTTGCTTACCTACCTTTGATGATGAGCCTCATCAAAAGTGTTTGTGAGACAACAGGATTCTCAGCCTTCACTTTCTTGGGCAGTTGGTCATAGTGGTTGGAACCAGTAAAGAGCTTTTCCTCCATTCTTTGTTATCGCTAAATAAGTTTCAACTCACAAAGAAACAAGCATCCATGTACCTCCAATCTTTTTTCTCTTTCTGTACTACAGCAATGACTGTTCGCAGGATGCAGCATTTAGTTCTAATTCTTAATTTTCATATCTTGTTAATCATATTTTGAGTGATTCATGGAGCAAAGGTTTTCATGCTTTCTACTGGCCACATCTGTATTAGTACCAAAATTCTCAAAGCAGCATTGGAAATGAAGGTTATGGCAAAAAGGTACCAAAAACCTGGCTTTGGTACACACAGGTTAATTTTCAGGATTCTAGTGTGGGTTTAAAGGCTCAAGCCCCTTGAAGCTGCAATTTCATCTTTAGGTATTTCTATCAAGGAAAGATTTATAACCTCCATCTCTCATGCCTGGTCACCATATGTTGTTGCTTCAAAGAATGTTGACTTCCCTATTTTCCTCTTCATTTACTCTCCCCGCATTTTTCTCCTCTGTGGTAAAACTGGATTAAAACAATTGCTCTATCCAAAACCCAAAAAGAACGTTCAGTGTGGTGAGTTCATCTCCATTCCAACATTCGGTTTAGTCTTTAGAATCAGTGGAAAGGGGAGAAAGTCTGGATTTCTTCTTGCACTTTGGGTTATCTTTTAATTTGCCTCTACAAATGTTACACCTTTTAAGTGGTTTTGTTGCATCTCGATTGCTGTGCTGGTGAGTGTAACACAGCCTGGCTGGGTCACAGAAGACACTGCTCTGTAAAGCAGAATGCCATAAGGCTTTTTGAAATATATACTGTATTATAGGGATTTGGATTTTTGACATACATGCTGCAGAGAATGAAATCATCTTAACATTGCTGGCTTTGATGGGTCAATTGATTGGCTCTAGCCATTCCTTTCATGCTGAGCAGCAGGATCCTGGTTTTCCATGCGATTGTTTCTGTAGTAAAAATATAGTTTCCGGTTTCGCGAGCCAGCAATTCCTTCTCAGGAAAAATGTTCAATAAATAAATGTCAAAGTTTCCAGTATATCCTCGTTACTCTGCCTCACTGGTACATAATTGAAAATGGGAAGAAGGTGCTGTTTGATTTGGCAGCCATCCAGCTCTTTTTTTGATGGATAGCCTACTCTTTGGGACAAAGCCCTACACCAGGGAACAGTGTTATTACCTTATAAAATCCTGCAGCCCACTCACTACTCCTTAATTGCATATTAAAGCAATTAATAAAATTACCTGTATGAAACCAGATTTATTTTAGGTTTGATATCTTAATGTGGGTCATTGTTACTGGCCAGTATGGAGGAGAAGAAACTTTGTATGATTTACTAGAACACATTATACTTTTAACTTTCTGTGATCATTTTTGGTGTAAAACATTGAAGTAGAACTTAGAGTCTACATAGTTCCAAGAGTTTTCTGATCTAAAATTGGCTTTTAAGGTAGGTGTAGCCTTGTCTTTGTTAGTTTTGGTTGTTATGCAATT